TTTGTAGCAGTTGTCCAGATAAGCCGGTACTTTGTTTAAAATGTTTTAAAAAATTGCATCAGTAACATAAGTAGTTATATTTTGTTATACTTAATGTATTGATTAAATTATAAGTTATGTATTTTGTGTTAAATTTTTGATTATAACGTAGAAATATTAATGCATATAATGTTAAATCAATAAAATTACATTTTGTACTACGTATTTTTTTATATACAAACATGGCCCATAGTGATCATGCTGCCGCATAGAACAATCTAGCATGGGGCACCGGTAGGTCAGACCGCCCCATGGAACAGACAAGCATGGGCCACCGATGGGTCATGCTGGCATCAACGTATTAATATCATCTTTACTTACGTTCCACAGCATAGGGGAAGGATTCACAACACAGTAATTTCAATGTAATCGGGAGCTTAAAAGATTTATCTTTGGTGGTATGAAATTGCTAACAGTCTTCTTCTTTCTGACAGTTTGTCTTGCTTTCGAGATACTTCTGTAACTGAGCTGTTGAATATGTTCTCTTTCATCGACAAGCATTGCCAACAAAACATTCTCTGAGTATAAGGATCGACATGTTGAACTAAATCATTAGATAAATCCCATGATGTTTGGATTGCTTGAAAGACATGTTTTGGTCTATGAGTAAAATATTTGTTAATATTTTATGGCAAACCACACAGGCATGTATGACTTTAAGGTGAAGCCAACTATTTTTTTTTTTTTTTTAATGTTTCTTGATGGATCTGATAAGCTTATATATGCAACCCAAGGACTTGGTTGGCTGCAGTTTGTCATCTGGAATGGGACAAAGGACCAGGGTCCTGATTTGCCAAGTCATCTGGACAGTGTCCCAAGGCTATATATTTGAAATGTCCAACCTACTAAAAGATTTACTGCAGTTTGACTGTCGATATTTTGGAAAATGTGGTAAAAAGGAAGCTTATTAAAATGAAGGAGGCATATGCTCCACTGTAGGAGGCATTCTACGTGATTTTCTAGTGAGTTGATGATACCCTTTTCCATCCAGTGTTCGTTAGAGTGCCATCTCTCCCTACTACTTCTAGTTTTTCTAGTGAAATTGATAGTTCAGACAAATAAGGAATAATGTATCATTTGATAAAATTGAGGTAATTGTCCAATATAAGTTGATCCAGTTTCCTGGATAAGAGAATAGTGTTCTTTCACATTCCTGTGAAATTGCTTGGCATTTAATCTTTTGGTATCATCTTTTTATCTTCAAAGTATCATCTTTTCATCCATCCAAGAAAACACCCCAGTTTTTCTGAGGAGTCGTGAATTGACTTTTCAAATTTGTCCTAACATGACTCGTGTTTCTTCTTATTTTATACTTATCAACCACATAGGAAGAATTTATGTTGGTTATTATCTGAACTTCTCACAGAACACTTGATGCTGTAACAGCTATTGCCCAATCAGAAACTCTGTACCAATCACCATTTCATTGCACTTGCAAGTATATTGACTGAAAAGTGCGAATGATGAGAATTCTATTTAGCACTATTGCGTTAAGTAGAATCATTCACACTTTTCAGTATGTTCAGTCGATGTACTTAGTTTGTATGCATCTTCCTCATACCCCGGGTCCCCAGTAGAACTGTGTTTGTGATTTCCAATTTCTGAGTACTTTTCTGTTTTTAAAAACTTCTTTGCCACTTAGTGCTGGCTGAAATCGCGATCTTTCTGCTTGACCTTCAAATTTTTTTGTAACTGTCTTGTCAATAGATCCAATTTTCTCCAAATTATTATTCCTTTGAAGAAACTTGAACTTCAACTTCTGAACAGGAATTTTTTTTTTTTTGCTCTGTCACATAAGCATTTAATTAGAATTACACATTGACATGCATCTAGTGTTTTTCAGTATGTACAGTTCAGTATCATTGTGCATTTTTAAACAGCAACTTCAGCAAGTGATCTAGCTTTAAACTTAAAGATACTTAGATGTTTATTTGTGTTATACTGGGTTTCTACTGCACTGTGGCAGTACTTCCCAGTAGCATGAGAGATGTCTCGAAGGAACATGGCATTAAAGGTAAATCATGTAGCTTCTGTAGCAGGAAATCATTAGAAGAGGCTAAAAGGGGGGAAGAGAGGAGCGATGCAAGGTCCTTGCACGTGTCGCCATCTGGTGATCTGGTGGCAATGGCTGTGGTAGGAGAAGAGCTGGAAATTAATATGTGGAAAGCCGGGCTCAGGAGCTGGCGAATCAGGAGGCAGCTTGGCGATTGAGTGTAGTATCACGGACCTGGGAGAGGTGTCGTCAAATATGGCGGTAAAGGGTGACAGAGTCAGAATCATTGGCGAGTGATGAAAAATATTATACTTGCTGAAATAATGCAGGTAAAAATTTTAACTGACATCAAAATAATTTTCATAATCTTGTAGGTAGGTCCCTTTGAGTCATGTGCAAGTGAAGTTGTAATATTTTCACAAAATTTTTACGGCTGGGCCTCGAACCGTGGATCTCTTGGACTGTAGATATGCGCTTTACCGCAGGGCTAGGCTTCTGTTCGTTAAGCTTGCAGGAAATTGAAGTCCTTTCATATGTGAAAAGATGATTTCCTGTGGATAAGAGTCCAGGTGAAGTTAAATGTTTGCGTTGATCATATTGATGATATGTGCAGCGTACGGTCTATTAAAGTAATCTTCTTTGAGTTTCATAAGCTAGGATGTTCGAAAAGTTTGCGTGGCTGTTTGTTGTAGCTTTTTTGAAGAAATTTGCATTTAGTCTGTTTTATAAAGTCCTGAATATATTCAATGCGGAGATCATGGTGAAGGTTTTTGTTTCAAAGAAAGAAGGGCACTCCAGTAACTAACCTGAGAACTTTGTTTTGTACTATTTGCAGCTTTTCTATCTCTGATTTCTTGGCGTTTGCCCATACAGGGGAAGCGTAGGTGAGGATCGGACAAATTATTGAAGTGAAGATTTTCTTCTTTTTTGAGAGTGTGAGTCCGGAAGAGTTTGATGAAAGACAGTAAAGTTTTCTGATAATTCTGAATGTTTTTCCCTTGACTTCGTTGATATGGTTAGACCAGGTGAAAGTTCTGTTGAATGTAATACCTAGGTATTTTGCCTTAGTTGCTATGGGGATTCGTTGGTCGAAGAGAGAAACCGAGCTGGTGATTCTGTCTTTATGCTTATATTTTCGAATCAGTAGTATTTCAGATTTTTCAGAATTGATATTTGTTATCCAATTGGTACACCATGTTTCGATAGTAGACATTTTTTTTTTGTGGAGCTTGAAGATGGCTTGATTAGGACGGCGGGATTTTTGAATTAGAGCTGTGTCATCAGCATAACAGGCAAGAAGAAAGTTATGATCTGTTTCAAACTTTGGAAAATCGTGAACATAGATTAAATAGAGAACAGGACCAAGGATACTGCTCTGTGCAATGCCTCCTCGGATGGGGTGGGATTTAGAGATGTAATCAGCTTGCTTGACAGAGAAGGTTCTTTGATCCAGGAAAGATTTTAAGATGAGAATCAGCTCTCGGGGAATCTGCTGTTGAATTAATTTGTAAATAAGTCCCTCATGCCAAACGTGGTGAAAAGCTTTAGCCATGTCTAGCATGAGGAAGGCAAGACTAAGTTTGTTTTTAATTGCGGAGCCAATAAATTCAGAGATTCTAATTAACTGGTCAACTGTTGAAAGTCCTCTCCGGAAGCCATACTGTTCATTCGATAGAAATTCCAGATGCGGTTGGAGTCGTTTCAGGATTATTTTTTCTAAGATCTTCCCGGGTGATGAAAGTAGACTGATTTATCTATAGCTTGAGAGTTTGTCAGGTGGTTTCTTCGGTTTTTGTAAAACAAAAATGCAGTCGTGTTTCCAGATGACTAGGAAGTAAGAGTGTGTTAGGCAAGCATTGTTACAGACATTATTTCAGGTCATGAATAGACCCTACTGAATGACTTAGTCTTCTAACCTACCTTTAAGTATCTTTCATGACTTCCTTATTCGAGTATAGGAATCATGATATACATTAATAAGCTTTATAATTTGGCAGTCAGACAACAAAGAAATGGATGCTTTATCATGCAAACATTTAATTTGTTTGGCTACTGCAGATGCTACTTTAGAGAAATTAAAATTTTTGTTGGTTGTCATGAGTGATAAATTGCATCTCTCTTCAAAACAACACCTAAAAACACATTCATGTGTTGGCATTTATTTTGGAGGAAGCTTCATGATTCACCAAATATAGGGCAATAAAACTTCTGTCTGTAGTCAGCAATCACACTCCTAGTTATTATATTTAGTGACTCATTCATCATTAGCTAATGTAGAAATTTAAACAAACGTAATACAAATGGTGCACAGCTCACACATTACAAACTGGACAAAATCATTTATCACTCGACAGTGAAAAAAACTGAAGTGAAGCTTATCGTGGAGTGGGGAAGCAAGAGTTGGCGTGTGGGGATTGTGGTGGAATAGGGAGCAATGGTTTAGTCTATGTAGCTCAGTCCAGTTCAGTGTGTTTCAAGGGAGTTCTGGGTCAATTTGTTCTAGCAAGACAAGGGGGAAGAGTTGGACAGCGCAAACTACAAAAAATTTGTAAATTTCCGTTTTTTTAAGACATTGTGCAAATGGAAAAAATTACTTTATTGATCTGCATTTTTAATTTAAAAGTTTTAACTAATTTAAAAAATTTACAAAAAAAAAAAAAGGATGCATCTTTTTTATAAACTTTAAGTATGATGTGCGAATGGAAGATGTTAACTGATTTAATTTTTTTTATATAATATTTTTCTTAGTATTACAATAGGAAACTCTTCTGCACTAAAGCATTCCAAAACATTTTTCCCCTTACCCACCCTAACACACTTAACTACTGTTAAGTTTTTGATAATTTATTTATTTTTGTATCTTACTTATTTCTGGAGATGTAATAGTTGGCAACAGTTTTAAGTATGAAATAAATTATGATTACATTTACTCGAAAAGTCTTATAATTATTATATTTTCTCTTTTAAGGTTTATCAAATTGTGAAGGGGTAGTAAAGAAGAGTGAAGCTCAGATTCATTTGCAACGCAAAATTCAGGAAAAAGAATTAATCAAAGAGCAAAAAAAGAAATTACAGGAGCATCGAAGCAATTTAGTTGGCTTAAGTAAAGGCAAAAGCTCTGCCTTGAAGAAAAAAGGCCTAAAATCAAAGAAAACAAGATTAATGTCATTACCTGCAGACTTGCCAAATTTTTCCTTAGTAAGTAATTTTTAATTAATATTAATATATTATGAGTAGCTTTTTTATAAATTAAGAAAGGGTAGAATTTTAAATATTAAAGGTAAAATTTATTTTTTCTTAATTATACTTTTAACAAATGATTGATGATAACATTAAAAACAAAATTTGAATAACAAATGCCATGGAGGAGAGACCCTAATTAGTTTCTCACTTGAAGCTCATAAAGTATTGTAGGGTATTAATAATGGGAGGTATTACTTTTTTAAACTAGATTTTATTCAAAAAGGAATAAAATGCCATTACTTTTTGTATGGTCAGATTATTTTTAAACTGAATGAGATATTTTCCCAAGTTTTTGTTAATTACACTGACTGAACGTTGGCTACTATCGAATGATGAAAGTTGGCAGAAATCCTGCCACAGTTGAGCATTTGTTCCTTCAGAATTCTGAGCCACATTCCTATTTGAAACTCTAACAATAAAATGTTCATCAGTCTTTCCTCACAATCTATCCAATAGCTACTGCTGCAGAAGTATTCAAACTGATTCATTTTTAAATAGGCCCTCTGATTTTACCAGAAGCTCTGTTTAGAATGTTATAAAACTTCCTGGAGATAATTGTTGTAGTCTATACTTGTTTTGTCACCCATATCTAGTTCTTTTTCCCATTCGATAGATGTTAATTTTCTTAACCAGCTGTAAATAAACTGGAGTGCAGTCACAGATGTAATTCTACAGCTCTCAAATAGACTTTTTTTTCCAACATGCAAGACAAATTGCAGCAATAACAATTAATTCATATCCGTTGGTTGCAAAAGTAAAAGGTGGCTACATCATCCTTGGGGTTACATCAAATGAAAGCTCAGATTGTTATGAGTATGTTATGAGATTACATTTATCCATAATTGGCACTCAATGCACTGCTTGGCAAGTTTCGCAGTCCACGATAATATGTAAGTACCAGAAAAAATTATAAGCTAATCTGATTTTATTTCATTAATAATTTTAAAAAATGTGTTAACATTCAAGTCGCATATTATTTCTTTTCTGTTCCCAAAAGTCATATTCTAAAAAAAATTTTTTTTTCAAATCAAAAATTCAAATCAAAATTTCTTTCAAATCAAAAATTGTATTCACACTACAGTGGTGGCCAAAATTGTGGACACTTTTGGAAATTTTTATGTTTTTGAACTTTGTATGCTTATAGAAAATGTTATGTTTCGCAAAATGCAAACTTGTATATATTATTTTATACTGAATTCAATACAAAACACAAAATTCGATTATTTGCAATACAGAAAAAGTTGTACTATGTACTTTAATATAAATAAAAAACACAGTTATGAAGTGGTTTGTAATGTCTACCTTTCCTGGCCAATCACTGTTCTTGTTCTGAGTACCAATCAAATGTTAGTAACTGCCAGTAGAAGCTGATATCATGTTTACACTTGAAACAATTCATTATTTTGCTTTGTTCTGTAGAAGGAGGACCTGTTTCTTATACACTGCAATTGCAAGTAAGAATTTTTGTAAAAATTTTTAATATTTAGTCAAGAAGCAATGACATCAAATAAAATACATTGGACACCTAGAAAGAGATGTAATATTATTGTGTTACGAGAAAGTGGTCTTTCCTATGCTGAAATTGCAAGACAGGTGGGTGTTTCAGTGACTACATCTGGAGTCCGAAAGTTTTGTTTACGATATCAGGAGACAAATTTAATAAAAAACAAAGAAGGAAAAGGCTGAAAAAGGTGCACCACATCTATTGATGACAGGAGAATAAAAAGACTATGTCTCCAAGATAGAAAAATGTCCTCAGCGGCATTCAAAAGTGATCTGAATGATGCTGGTGTTTCTGTCAGTTCAAGAACATTCAGGAGAAGATTAACAGATGTTGGACTGAGAGGTAGAATTCCACGAAAAAAGCCTTATCTTAATTTTCAGCAACGAAAAAAAAAGACTACAGTGGGCAAAGGAACACATTAATTGGACAGAGAATGTGGGTCACAAGTTTATATGGAGTGATGAAACTAAGATATCGTTATTCGGTAGTGATGGGCGAAAATATGTAAGATGTAGAATAGGAGAAGAGCTACATCCTGACTGCATTCAAGAAACTGTGAAGAACCCAGCTAGTGTTATGATTTGATCATGCATGTCAGCAGATGGTATTGGTCGCCTTCCTGTCATCGATGGGACACTGAATGCCAGAAAATACATTGACGCTTTTCTAGATCCAAAACTTTACCTTCCATCAGATATCTCTTTTCCAACAATGCTTCGTTTATTTTTCAGCAGGATTCTGCTTCTTGCCACATGGCCAAAATATTGAAAGTGTGGTTTTGTACAAAGAGCATTAAATTGTTGTCATGGCCAGGAAACAGTCCTGACCTCAATCCTATCGAAAATTTGTGGTACCGTTTGAAAACTCTTGTCCGAATGAGGCGCCCATCAAATAAAAGGGAACTAATTGAGGCTATAATTGTTTCCTGGCATCATGTAATAACGAAAGAAGAGCTTAAAACTCTTGTCAGCTCAATGAAATGTCGATGTGAAGCTGTAATAAAAAATAAAGGGTACCCTACTAAGTACTGATAACTCACTGCATCACTATCTAATGTATATCGATAACTATTATCGTTTAACTTTTTTTTGTATTGCAAATAATTGAATTTTGTGTTTTGTATTGGATTCAGTAATAAATTCTCTTTAAAATGATTTATACAAGTTTGCATTTTGTGAAACGTAACGTTTTCTATAAGCATACAAAGTTCAAAAACATAAAAATTTCCAAAAGTGTCCACAATTTTGGCCATCACAGTATATTAATATTTTTTTTATTTATTTATTTCAAATAGCTTTAAAATAGCTTTTATTTTAGCAATTTTATTACTGAGCAGTTCTAACTTTTGTATTTTCTTCCTAAGAAAGAAAAAGGAAATGAAAAAAAAATTTAGTAATAATTTTTTAAGACTTTCAACTAAGCTTTTACAAAATAAATTTTAGTAAGAATGTAATTTTGGTTACTTTTCTAATTCTTTTTTATTTTTTATTTTTTATTTTTTATTTTTTATTTTTATTTATTTTTTTATTTTTTTTTTGTGAAGTAATTTAATAATTTCAATAAATCTTATCGTATTCACCATCATTTACGATTCTTACATTTGAAAGCTGGATTAATGTTTACACTAACACTTATCAATTAATTAGTTCACTCCTCACAAGAACTCAGTAGATATATTTTCTTTTTTAAAAAGTATGACAACAATTTTTGATACATTGATGATTAAGGAAGATAAAAGCTGTGAATAAGTAGCACTTTATAATTTTTTTCTTTTTTAATTTAACAACATTGAATTTGCTGATGTCTAAGAAAGATGCTGTATCATTCTTCCAAGAAAGAGGCATTATACCACCAGTTTGACTATGCAAAAATGGCCATAAAATGAAATTGTGTCAATTAAAGCATTTGAATGTACAATGGTAAAAAGTTGCTAGCAAAAGAAAAATGTTTGGTCTGACAACTGGTTCAGTTGTTCCAGGATACCATTTGTAAGAGTCGTGCAGTTTATGTACTGTTGGACAGAGGAATTGCCATCAAGTAAGTGGTGTGAGAAACAACTTATTTCCTGGAAGTATGACTGTTGAATGGAACAGTTTCAAGAAAGAAATATATGTTTTCTACATTTAATCTGACAACCAAATAATGAGCAAATAGGTGGAGTCCCTGCAAAAATTGTGGATATAAACAAAAGTAATTTGTCTGGCGAAAAAACAATGTTGGTAGGATTCTTCCACTGCAGTAGAAATTTGTGAGGTTATGCAAAGAAATTGGTGATTGATTTCTTGTTCATCTTCTAAACAGAGAGGCACTCTCACTTAATGGCAAAAGTCATGGATCATTTAAAAGAGGGATCAACGATTTATTGACGATTTATTGATTATCAGACTGCTAGTGAGCATACAGAGCAGAAGACCTGAAAAAACCAAAGTACACTAAATTTACTGTGAATCATAAAATCCATTTTGTGGATTTAAAAACAATGTCTCATATGAAAGATTGTGAGACTTTAAGTGCAAAATGAAAAGCAGCGAGGAGGCTCATCATGATCTTGAGTTCTGTCTTATGGAATTCATGTGGTGAAAGTCTTGGGATGAATAATCTTATTGTCATTATTATAATGGGGGTTGTAAAAATTAGGAAGTACTTTTTCCCCTCTTTTTTTGGTTTGCTTGCTTCTTTTTTTAACTAATTATTGCAAAACATATGATTATCTATTTAAAGATGCTTTTGTGGAGGACTTTTTAAGGGAAACTGGATCAAATTTAAGCTACACTTGAGGAAATCGCAGAAACACCCATTCTGCCAGCCTGTTCGCTAAGAATTGAGTACTTATCAAAGTAGCTGTTTTTAGCAATCTTATTTAATCAATCCTGGTCAGTTTTATAAGTCTAAAACATAGTTAACTATCTCTGTTACTGCATAATGAAAAATCTGTATATATATGCTCTTCGAATTGAGAAAAATCAGTGATAATTAAAGCCACCAGAACATGTAATGCTCTGTCCATTAAAGCCTGAATTATTTTATACAAATTTAATAAAATTTTGATAAATAAACTCTATGGCAATGGTAATAGTGCTCAAAATAAAACATTTTATCTCTAATGTATCAGACTGTTGCCATTCATCTAAATGTAAGATATTTATTTTTCAATTTTAATCAGTGAATGTGTTTTCAACTTAAATCAGTGAAAAGCAATGTGTTGTCACTTGCTGAAATAAAATACTTTGTATCATGCATCAACATGTTACGATTTGGCAAAGTGTGAGATATTTAACTTTCAAATGTAATCTGTCTCTTGTTGATTTATAAACTAAGCCATTTAAAAGCAATAAACACAGTCCTTAAGAATATTTTCCCTACTTTTTAATTTTATTGATTTAAATAAAAATGCATTTAAATCAACTGATGTCTAATTAGAAATATTAAACGTTTTCATGAAAATATGCTAGCATGAATCATTTAAATCTGTATATATATATATATATTATATAAACTTAAAGCATCAAAAGTTAAAATTAAATTTCTACTAAAATTAATCTTAGGAGATAATATAATCAATATTTCTTTAGCATATATATATATATATATATATATATATATATTATAGTTATTATTTTCAGTAGCTATTTATATTAAATGAAAGAGATGACAAAGTTTAAATTTGAACTACGAAAAGGAATTTTCACAAAATACATATTTCTGAAAAACAGTTTTAACTATCAAATATTATTGTGAAAAAAGGTAAATATCATAAAATCAACCTTTCTAAAACAGATTTGATTATATTATTAAATTAGCTCTCAAGACAAATAACAGGTTTCAAACTAAGATGGGATATACATTTGTAAAGGATTTTCCATAGGAAACTTGCTTATATTTGCATTATACTATTGTAATTGTTTGGGGTTTGATCAGTAAGCATTTAAAAATATTTCCATTGTTTAAACATATTCATAATAAAATGTCTTGAAAAATATACTCTTTATGTCTTTTTTAGTTCTTTAACAGAAGCTTTATATACAGATAACCCTCATATGCTTTGCCATGTTCAAATAGCCTAACCTAACAATGAGAAGTTTTTATAGTCATTTTTTGCATGGGTGAATGTAGGAGAATGCAATGAATTTTAGATAAGGTTTTGTTTCTAGCTGAATGAGCTGGTTGTTTAGTAATTTTTATGATTTTTTCATGTGTTGCATTGTTGCAAACAATAAGCTGTTACTTCTTAGTTGTCATGCAACAAAAAAACAACTCCCATTCTTTTGAAAACGGGGACGTACTCTGTGAATTCTTTGTCGGAGTCGGGCAAGAACTTCTGCATAAAAACTGTCCTGTAACAGTAGTGCCTGGTGGGACAAACAGTAGTGCCTGGTGATGAATAAGTCCTTCACTATCGAAAAAAGCGATTAACATTACTTTGACCTTTGATTTTTGAAATCAAAATTTTTTCTGTTTATGGGAGCTGGGAGACTGCCATTCTGTGCTCAGTCTCTTGATTTCAGGGTTGTATTATGGCACCACGATTTGTCACCTGTCACTATTGAATCCAGGAAAGAAGAGTCAGCGTTGTCAACGAGTTCACCACATGGTGTCCATTCTGACTTGCTTCTGATCATCCGATAAACAGTGCGGGACAAATCTGGAACACACCTTGTGTTTCTCTAGGTCTTGCGTGAGAATTTGGCAAACCACCTCTTTGTCGATGTTCAGTTCACTGGCCAGCATCCAAACAGTCAGTCGCTGATCTGCTGTTACAAGCTCGTAAACTTTTTCAATTGTTTCAGGTGTACACATGGAAAATGACCTGGTGTGTGCATCATCTTCAACACCTTCATGGCCGTCCCAAAAACATCCATACCATTCAAAAGTGCAGGAACGGGATAATGCTTGCTCACCATACACTTGCTTCAACATTGCATGTGTTTCTGTTGCACTTTTGCCCAGTTTAAAGCAGAATTTGATGTTCATCCTTTGTTCCATTTCAGCACTTCCACAACACCACTTTCCCACTTCGACAACACTTCACCAGATATGTTTCCATGTGTCTTTTCCAGCCAAGCTCATGTCTACAACTGATGTACACTGCGAGGAGCACGTGCAGATGTACTACTTTCCAGATACCAGCAGCACCTCTCTCGGGCGAGTGATCGGTTTGATGCTGTGGCGTCAGTCCTGGATATCAATAGCCACACCTTGTATATAATATAATGTAAATAAAGCATAAAGAATTTCGTTGCAATTAACTTCAAAGGATATATTGTTTTGATAGGCAAAATTTATGTGAATATTTTATTTCATCAATAAACATTTAGGAGTTAATTTAAGTTTAATATCTTTACCATTTTAATGGTTTAGAAGCAATTGTGACTTTTCTCCCAAATCCATTTAAAGTGAGTGCAGATTGGGATTTTATTGAAAAACTAAGGAAGTATTTTATGAAACACTGAAATTATTGGAAATAAAGCATTATACAAAAAACTACAATTGCTTTAGCTTAATTAGAAGTATACAAAATGTAAAAAACTTGAGCTGCTAAACCAATGTGTGTAAGAATTGAAAATATACAGATTTACTATATTTGACGATGCATTGCTGTTTTGGAGATTTCCCTAAATTTTTTAATTTTGTCCGCTGGTGATTAGCTTCATCTGAAAGCTCACCACTGGCTATCGAAGTATAAACGTTTAACAATTTTATTGGATTAGCTATAGAATATTAGCATTTAGTGATTTTGTTTTATGTATACTAAATAGATTCATATATGATATACACATTGAGAAAATTATAGTTCAAGGTTGGAAGACCTTTCATGTTTTGTCTGGTAATCTAGTACCATACGTAAAATAATTTTGTTAAGTCATGTCTGCATAATAATGTTTAAATGTATGATGAATAAAATCACTCATTTTGTAAGGAATGGATATTTAAATTAATTAATCTCCTAGTGATTTAGTTTATTACTCTACTATCATTTCTTTCTGGTGTATTTTGTATGTTCACAATTTATTTTCATTGATTTCATTCCACTTCAGCTGATCTTAATTCATTTTTATTTTTTAAGGATAAAGAATCTTCAGATATTCTTGTAAAAAGCCAAGATGAAAATGCTAGTGAAAACATTTTAAATCAACAAAGAAAAACCCTTGAAACTCAGATTAAAGAAGAAGATTGTGATATTGAAACATTAATATCACATGAAAATTCTTTAAAACATAATTTAGACTCTGCTGCTATTTGTTCATCACCCAGCAAGAATACAAGCCCTGCTGGGCGTTTAGAAATTGAAGATGGAATTAAGAATAAAAACAAAATACTGATTTCTCAAAGTAAAACACCAGTGTGCATAGCACAGAATCTTCCTGGAATAATTATTGTTCCATCTTTATCACAACTTACTGATATTGGTAAACAAAATGTAGCTGCTCCAAAATATAAACGAATTCAGCCCAAACCACTGAGAGGTGAGAGTTTCTCTACTGTTGCTAGATCAAGAGCAGGATCAGTAGGTTCAACTACATTAATTAAACCTAAAAGCAAAACAAATGATGGGAGACGAAGTTCACATGCACGCCTTCAATCAGATTGCAGTGAAGAAAGCAATGAAGATAATTCTCCCAAAACTAATAGTACAACGTCTAATGTGAAGATCGTTTCTTTAAAACCTTCTCCTCAAAATAAATAGTTCAAAAAAGAGCAATTTTATTACACCTCAGGATATTGTTTCCGAAAAGCCCAAAGATTGTGTATCAGATTTCAGTGCTCAGGTTTCTGCTGATCCTAAAATTTTGCCTGAAAATTCTCTTGAAGACAAAACCAATCAAAATATAGAGCTTATATTTAAATCTGTAGAATCTGAAAAGTATGTAGATATTATTAGAGTTTCTTCTGAAGAAAACAATGCTATGAAAAGGCATCTATCTGAGAATAATTATTATAAAGATAGCAAAAGACCACATTTAGATATTTCCATAACAGATGCTGTTTCTGAATCTGCATCATTGAATAAAAGTGCATCAAATTTGATGCAGCAGAGTCAAACAAATCAAATTCCTGTCTTCAGTAGTGAAGTTTGTGTACATGAAATTGAAGGGGATGCTTTGAATGATTACTTTCGTGGTGCTAATTCCAGTGTTTCTATTGTTACTCCCCTTCAAGAAGAAAGGAACAAAAAATTAGAAGTAGATAATGGGCAGCTGTCTTGTAACAATAAGGTCAAACAGTTATCTCAGCTTCGAATGCTTCTTGAACAAAATCTTCCACGTGCAATATCGAAAACTCCAACAGTTAATAGCTTGCAGAATCAGCTTGTTTCTAATACTTCATCTCTAGTTTTATGTGATAGTGTTTTATTGCCTCAGACTGTAAAAACATCTGATATAACTGCAAAAGCACCATTTTCCAATAGAATTCAAGAAGAAAATAAATCCATAAATAGCATTTTTAATGGCCAAATAAACAGTGTAAATTCTGAAACTTTTCAATCTGTTCAAAATTCCAGTCAAATAGAATCAATAGAGAAACTTTTCTCTGCAGGAGAATCAATAGTTAATGGAAATATTCCTGAGCATAATGAAATTCTTTCAGATCCTAATTTTTTTTTCAACTCTGCAAAAAATAATGCTAATGAAATAGATATAAATATACAAGCTGGGTTTTCAGATTTAAATCAAGATTCTGAAACAAATGGTATTCTATTACCATCTAACGAAATATCGGACATAGAAACAATACATCAGATAAGCAATACATTGCATTCTTCTCGAGTAAGTACTTACACACAAGTCCCTTCAGTTCCACAGAGTCCAAATACCAGAAGACGGGCTTTTAACTTTACGCCAATATCTCCAAGACATACTCCCATTCCCGATGGCATTAATGTTAGTGGAACATCTGCCTTGTCATCTCCTGTACCAAATCAGTATCCACGAAACATGATGTCTACTGCTGTGGGTCCATCTCAACCACCTAGTAATGCTGGTAGTCCATTTGTGTCTCCTAGATCAACACCAGTACATTTTTGTCGTTCAAGACATAGTTCTGGTCAGAGTACGTATAGTACATCTCGACATACTCCTTTCCAGAACTTTGATTCTGGAGTATCTTCTGTATCAACCTCTCCTTTTATTTCCCCTCAGACAACTCCAGTACCTGTTAGTAGATTACGACATAATTCAAGTCATGGTTTAAGCAAAACTGTAACATTTTGTTCTGTTAATAGCCCTCAAGTAATTAATTCTCAAATATCTACGAGTACTATTGGACACTTGCGTTCTAGGCACAGTTCTGGTCCTGGTGGCCCACATATTACAGGAAATGTATGTTTTTCAAGGAGTGCTCCATTGTCACCTTTAGTCAGTGAACATTGCCTTCCATCAACTTTTGTGTTTCCTTCAGGAAATGAAGTAAGATCTCGCCATAATTCAGGCTCAAATACTACTCCATTGTCTCCAGTCTCTGAGCAAGCATCTTCTTCGAGTAGCTGCACAAGCAATCTCCCAGATCTTTCTAGTGTTAATGAAGGTACATCAATGTCTCATTCCTTTTTAAATGATGGGGCTGGTGATTTACTTATCAGTGCAAATCCAGCAACTTTCAAGCAAGCTCGCCAAAGACATGCATCAAGTTCTGTTATTTACAGTAAACCACCCTTAGCATTAAAAGATACCTTTTCACGAGAAATTCAGAATTTGTTAAAAAACAGCCAGGCTAATGGTGCTTCTGATATTCTACTTAGCAATAGGAGTCAGTCTGTGCCGTTACATCAGATGATTGAGTATTGTTTCCTGTCACCTCCAGTGGAAGATGCGTGTCCCAAATCGCATCCAACCACTCCTGTAATAAATCAGATGTTTTCATTCCCTCTTTTGAGTTCCAGTCAAGAGACTTCAGATATATCTTTAGCTACTGATATCCAGAATCGTGATAAAACCCTTGTTCAAGCTAATCAGATGGAATGGGCTGGTCTTGAAGCTACTGGAGATTTGGAAATGAGCAATGCAAGACGTAACATAACAACACTTTTGGATCCACCACTTGGTGATGATTTACAGACAACACTGGAAGATCTGAGAGATTGTGATACAGACTTTTCGAAATTTGCCCAAGAGCTGGAGTTAAGTCAGAATGATGAAGGCAGCCTGTAACATCAGAAAATTATCTTACTGTACATTTTCCCTTTTAGATAGTTGAACTCATGTTGTAGATTTTTATGTTTATCTATTTTTAGATTTATCTTCCTCTGTACAGTTAGTCTTTAATCTCATACTCTTAAATGCTCTACATTTATTGCTCTTAGTTGTGCTCATGAATATATTTTTGTAAACGTATATATTATAAAACTCCATTATTTGCCTTTATTACAAAATGGGAATACTATATCCCTTTCTTCTTTCTAATCATGTATACAATTCAATTTGTAGATAGCAAATTTTATATCTTAATCTGCCTTTTTTTTTCCTCTTTTGTTCTTTGCACAAATATTATAGTTCATGCACTGAAAATATTATATTAATAGGCCTCTTTCTCTTATTATAGAAAGTCTTAATTTCTAAAAAATATTTTCTAAGTTATAGTAATGAATATTAAAGCTTTTCTGATTGAGCTTAAAATGATATAAAAGGAAGTTTATTCCTTTATTTTTTATGCGTAACAATGATTAGACCTGTATCTGTTTTTGCTTTTGTTATTTTATTTTGAGAAAGTACAGCTACTGATTTTGAAATCTGTGATTTTTTTATTACAGATGTTTTATTACTATAAATATTTTTCTATTTGTATCTTAGTATAGAAGTAGTTTGATTTTAATTTAAGAGGGATGGATAATTAGCTTGCTGTGTTAAAGAATGGTGATTCTTTTAATATTCTGCTTCCAATTATTTTTATTTAATCATTGTTATGGAAAAAGAGAGTTTAAGGAAACAGTGTATTTCTGCGTTTAACAAAATAGTGCTTATTAAAAATGGTTTAATCCCAATAAATAACAGCATATGTTTAAATGAAAGTATTATAGATAATAATTCATATCTGTACATTATATTCAGTACTTCAAGGCTAATTTTTAATTCCAGTACTGTCAATGTAGTTCATCAAAAAAGTTTATACAAAGTACACATCGGAAAATGTAGTGATCTGGTTACTTTATTAAGTATAAAACAATAATATGTAGTTTTGTATTTCTAAATGGGTATCTTTTAATAGTGAAAGAAAATTCTGACTGTTAAAAATATGCACAAAATTTATTATTTTCCTAGAATTGTATAAGCTACAATATTTGTTTTTTCTTGGAAGAAACAAAATTTAAAAAACTAGAATTTAAGGGAATTAAGTAATAATAATTATTAAAAAAGTATGTAACTGTATTTGACCCAAGCAATTATTTATATTTGATTTTATGCATTGTAACTACTAATTTTATCTATATTTTAATATTAAAAATGCATTTAAGATAGTCACATTTTTATATCTTGTGAAGAATTCAGTTTTCTTAACTTTTTTATTCATTCCAGCTTTGTATTTAGATTGACCGTACTCTACTTATAAAAGTATTAAATTACTGTACAAAATAATATGTAACTTCTTACATATACTTATGTATTAACATTTTACTATGTAATGCATTTGAAATTTCAATATTTGGTTTTGCATTAGATGAAAGTGATAACAGATAACAATTTTATCTTGATTTTAAATATATATATATATATATATGGCCAGTATGTTATTTTAGGTGGTTAATTTTTAAAAAAATTGAGAAATGGTAGATGTTTTAGGTAACGAAAGGTTTCCTTAATAATCAGTCCTTTGTTATAAGTCACATAATTAAAAATTATCAAGGAAAAAGTTCCTGAAAATAGTATAGCTGAATGGAATATAAAGTAAATATTTTTTCATGAGTAAATTTATGGATATTCTTTTGAGTCTTGTCCTCAGGGGATTCTATAATTAAGAAGTATTATAAGCTTCACAGAATAATTTTCCTTAAAATTTTTCTCTTTCTATTATTTGTAAAAAAAAGCATGAAATTTTTTGTCTGGCATCCATTGCCATATCAAAATATTTTATAACATACATGTAGATGTGAAAAACTAACATGTTGATCAAAATATTGAAAGCAGTAATTCTGAATGTGCAATGTTTTTAAGAAAATATTTGCTGTGCATCTTTACAAAACATCACATGTATGTTAAAGTGAAGATAAATTACAAATTAGCATCAAACATTATATTCATAGATGTCGCAATAAGCAATATTTCTTTTGGGGGGCTGGCTGTATATGTTTTGCTGAAAATAAGCCCTTGCTTTTAAAAGGTATCTTAAATCATTTATTTTTTATCAGTTTTCATTCAATTTTCTGATGATTATTTTAATTAATGTATCTTACTTATTAGCTTTTACCCCCTTTCTCCCATGGCAGCAAATTTATTAAAAAAATAAGGATCACTTCAAGATGTTCCAAAAATTTTTTAACTTACTCACATCATATTTTGAGCCAGTACTGTTGTTGAAAATTTCCTGTTAATTTTATTTGATATACAGTTCTATAATTTCAAATGACTCTTTTAACAGGGAAATGAAGTCGTTTGTTATCCAGTTAAATTATCAATATTTTTACTGTATCCAGGGCTTTTGTATTCTTTCAGATTTTTACAGCTAATTTTACTTACTTCCTTCTCTGAAATTGGATATATAATGAAAGAAGATTAGCTTATGTTAATAACTTCTTTTCTTCCTTTAAATAAATTTTGCAGAGCTTAAAAAAAATAATTAGGAATTTATCTAATTTTAAATATCTGAGCAAAACCATTGGAAAATCGAGTGTGTAGGTACACATTCAATTGTCATAAACATGTATATAATGCTAGTAGATTTTTTTAACTGTTGTTATATCATAATAAATAAGTTTTGATTATATGGTATGCTTACCTTTTCTTTTATATTTTTTAATTATTAAAGTCTGTTAGTAATCATATCAACTGAAAATGTGTGGTGTTCTATAAAATCATGTAGTGAAGAACTTAAATGTAAAATTTTAAATATACTTTTAGAAAAAGTCTAAATGAATATTCTTGATGTGGTACAATGTGGAAAATAACTGCTTTAATGCATAAAATATTATGAATTAGTATTATGGTTACATTTTCAAAGTTATTATCTGGAGTTCCTTCCTTTTTTAAAGAAAAAGATCAATTGATAGAATTTAAACTTTGGAATTCTTGTGTGCAGTTTTTGGTCTACATTAATTTTATAACAAAAGCCTGTTTTCTTAACTGTAAAGTAGTGGCATTTTTTGCTCTAAAAATCTCTTTATTTTTTCATAATTTTGAACTATTTTCTAATATATAAAAAGCATCAATATGTATTAGAAAATATGTTAAGATATTGTGATTAATATATATATTTGCTACTAAAATTAAAATATCATGCGCTCCCCCCATTTAGAGAAAAGATTGCTCTAAGGATAGAAATTTTTAAATTTATTCAGAGCCCACCATTTTAGTGAAATGCAAGTGCATTCATAGGAGCACTGAAACAACTTTCAGAATTTAAATATTGTTTATAACTGCTGAATTCAGAATAAATAAGATAGATACTTGTTTCTAATAACTGACAGTCACATAAATGAAAAAAAAAAAAAAATAAATAAATAAAAACAGTTTTGTGAGAGGGGTTTTATGACTAATGAATATATTGATTTATATAAATAATTGCTTTATCATATTTTACTGCCTGAATGTAGATGTTCCATACTGGAACAAGCTAAATATAAGACCTGTAAAATGCCATTACTAATACATTATTATTATTATTTTGTCATTAAAATCAATTTTGAAACTCATTCAGAAAGGGGGAAATTTTTCATCATCAGGAAATTAAATATTTTGTGTAACTTATTTTAAGGATAGAAATATCGTTTATATCACATCATCAAGTATATAAATTTGAGATGTTTTGCGTAAAGTTAAAAATTCTAATCTCTTTCTTAAAATTTATTTAGATAAATCTAAAAATATGCAACAAAACTGTTAATCAACATCCAAAGGATTGTTTTGTATAGGGGTACATAATACATGGCAAAAGAAGTATCTTTCATTAATTACAGTAATTGAAAGCCAAGTCAAATGGGTGATAAAGTCAGTAGCATGTTGTAATATACATCAAGCATAAAGGCTGTAGTAGTTTTCCAGTGTTAAAATTCATATGTGGTGTTACAATTTCCCTATTAAACATACAAATTTAAAAAAAAATTAAAGCAGTAAATACTATTCTAGAAAGTATTTTTAAGCATATAGTTTGTAACACTGAAACATACTTCCAACAGTTAATACATTTTAAATATTTTGTGTTGCATCAGACTTCATTTAAATCAGTATGATAAAAGTATTTGCTCATTCATCTGGGAAACAAAATTACCCCCTCCTTAAGAAAATGTGAAATAATTTCAGGCTTCAGCTAGCATAGAGCATTTATTAAATAATTTGTTATTTTATACCTTCCTGTAGTTCTATGCAGTTCTTTTTATGTATTTGAGCACTGCTAATGCAGCCTACAATCAGATATTATGGAAAATACCCACTTTGTATTGGTTGCATGCATTATTTTTCTAAATTTTCAAACATGTAAAATTAGAAATTTTTTGTATAGTGAATTCCCTTTACTAGAAGTCCCATTTCATATGTACTGAAAATATCTCTCACAGTCTTTCAAAATATGAAGTATCAATTCATAATTATACATATCAATCAATAGAATAATATTTATTATCTCTACCAGTTCTGTCAAGCAAATATTTCAGGCCTGAAGTAACTTTTTGTGGCACATCCTAGCTAATAATGTACCTCACTGCTGGCTACTTGAGTTCCAGTTTAATTACATAGGCTTCAAGATACATTTCTTTTATTACAAATAACAGTTGTGACTATATCTGAAATATGTTTAATTATAGATTTGTAGTTATATTTCCTTAAAATAATCTTAACAATTTTATGAATGTTTAGTCAGCAATTAAAATTTCATTTAAAATATATTTTTCAGTAAAATATTTATGAATTTAAATTTCAAGGTTTAACCCCTTAACTGCCGCGGGCGTATATATACGCCTTGCTCAGCCGATGCGTTAACTGCCCCAGGTGTATATATACGTCCTTCCAAACTGCTATCATTTATTTGCTTTGCGCTGCTACACCTAAAATTATTTGCAAAGCTTTGGAATGCAACACCACAATGACCTTGACAAAATATGCGAAGGAAAATACTATTTCAGAGAAGTGTGGGGAGAAATTGGAGAGAGAGGTGTGTCTAAAGTGGTGAAAGTAATGACGTGAAAGTAATGACTGCACGGTATTGGCTATGGCTAGTGTTGTTTGAGTAAAACTTTTTTTTTTTTTTTTTTTTTTTTTTTTGTCGTCCTGTGTCCTCCATTTTCGTTTACTTTTTGTAGTAGGTTCCAGGAATAAAGAAAGATATAACGGATGTTTCAAACCCATTTATCTTTTTTGAATTATTTTTTGAACTGCTCGTGCTTCATATTGTTACTGAAACTAACCGTTTTGTAGACGAGTATATGAACTAACACCTTGCAAACAAAAAATCAAGAACAAAATCGTGGCATTCAACCAGTTCAGAAGAAATATGTTTTTTTAGGCATACTTGATTTCCCAAGGTATAACACTGAAACCTGATATTAGACTTTACTGGTCTAAAAATGAATTTATTGAAACTCCATTTAGGGACTTTTTTTTATTATAAAACCCTCATTTTTATTATACTTACATCTTTTTATTATACTTTTACTCAAATTTTGTGCATTCATTTTTTTTCTTTTATTCTTTATTTTGTGAAAGTAAACAGTTTTTAGAAAGTAAAAGTTGCACTTATTTTCCCCCTAATACAACGCATAACTGTGCGCGCCTGTGTGAAAAACCGTGGCACCGGGAAATGAATCTTGTACGTTTTCCGCGGCAGTTAAGGGGTTAAAATGCATTACTGATTACTGAGGACGTGGAATTTACATATATGATGAAAGAGCTCTTGGATGTTAATTCTCAGTGATGTTATTAACAGGTCTTGAAGATGGTTGATACTACGAATGCTTTCAGAAATCTGGAGCCATTAGTAATAATTTTTATTAACCTAGCCACAAGTCTGTAGTTGGACCATCCTGATTTACATAAGCAAGTTTAGCAAAAGTCATAAATGAGTTTTTTAAAGCCTAAATGAGTTTAGCAATAGTCGTGTTGCAGACATTATTTCTAGTCTAAGGAAGCATTATACACAGACATTGTTATTTCTAATGATTTTAGCTTCGCTTGTTAAGCTTTC